CCAACCCATTTGGCCGAGAAACAGACTGCAGAGGGACTTGTAAAGTTATCTACTTAGCCCATCTGCTCAGCTGATGAATGAATGAATGTTTCTGCCAGACATTTCAGAGAGCCAGGCCCCTGAACTCTTGGGCTAGAAGAAGTCAGGAGACTCAGTTTCCACAATCTGAAAATAAGAGCAAGGCCAGTCTCACAAGAGCTGGTACAGGCAGAGGTGGAGAGGGGCAGCCGGCCTCCGGGGACACTCACCGGTGTGAGTTCGGACGTGGCCCTGTAGCAGCCAGGGCCTAGAGAATGCCTTCCCGCAGGTGCTGCAGACGCAGGGCAGCGTGTGGCTCCGGATGTGCATCTTGAGGGCACCCAGACTGATGTACTCCTTGTTGCAATATTTGCAGTTGAAGGCCTTGCGAGACTGGGGGTCCTTGGCCCCGGAGAGCCCGGCCAGCTGCTTGAGCCCAGGCAACGGGCCCAAGCCTGAGAAGGCAGCATAACCCTCCGCCTCCAGGGAAGAGGCTGAGGTGGAAGAGAAGGACGAAGGCGCCGGCGAGGGCGGGCTAGGGGGCTGGGAGCCTTTCCCACTGTCCTCATCCGACAGGGAGGTCAGCTCCACAGCCTTGGGGATCTCCTGGGCCAGAAGAGAGGCCCGGCCGACAGGCTGGGCTTGGGGTGCCAGGAGAGAGTCCCAGATGAGTGTGGGCAGGGAGGCCGTGGGGTTGAGGACCTCAGGAGGTGGGATGGCCGCCAGCAGGTGGGCCTGGTCGTAGGGCTGCTGGAAGGTGAACTCTGAGGGGAGAGAGAAAGGGGCAGGGGCAGGCATTAATTAGATCAGTCAGTCAAGAAACATTAGCCTGATGTGGGACAGCGGCTGAGTGGGGCCGCAACTCAAAGGGGTCATTCCTCCGGAGTTCCCCAAGTCCCCAGCTTGAAGCGAGACCCCAGCACCCCAAGCCCCAATCACCTCAGCTCAAAGGCACCGCCCCGTTCCACTCTCCCTCCTCACACACATCTCTTCTCCCACCCCCTCCTTCAAATCCTCTGGACTCCGGACTCTTCCCAGACCCTGGCCGGTGTCTCTCCCAAAAAGCGCCTCCCCACGCCCGGCCTCATTTCTCACTCGCGGGGCTCCCTCCGCCTCTCTGCGGCCGGGAAGTGCCCTCAAGACCAAGACCACCGCCCTCTACAAGCCCTCCCTCAACCGCCGGATCCACCTGCCCCGGGCCCCTCATACCCCTCTTCACATTTCCCCACGCCTTTGACTGGCTTTTGGCCCCTCGATCTTGTCCCCAAGTCCCCCTCCTCTAAAGTGGCCCCTTCGCTTGTCTCTCCGAAACACCCCCGGGGTCCGCCGCCCCGTCCACCCACCTGGAGAAGAGTCGTGCAGCTCGCTGTAATTGGGCCTCCGGCGGGAGCACGCCGACTTCCTAACAAGGAAAGAGCGCGGCATGGTGGCCGAAGCAGCTGGGGGTCGCCGAGTCGCGCAGTGGTCGCAAAGCCCTCCACACGCGAGGCCGCGCCGCTGCGCTGTGAGTAGAGACCAGCGGCCAACTCCTTTAAGTACGCCAGCCTGGGAGGGGCGTGGCCTGCGGAGGTCACGCCCCTTTGTCACCTCTGCACCAATGGAGGAGAGCCTTCGCCGGAGGCCACGCCCCGAGCAGGTGCGCCGGAGGCTGGCGGGGCTCGAGCCGCGTGGCGCTGGGTGTAGGGTGGGGCCGCTCCGAGGCCGGGCGGTGGGTACTACACTGACCCGCGGGGTGGCGAGCTGCCGGGAGCGGGGCGCTGGACGCAGGGAACCTCAGGCGAGACGGGACCCCCTTCGGGATCCCGTGCGCCCGCCAGCTCAGCGCTGCCTGGTCGTCCGCCTCTGGCGCCCCCTGGCGCCCCGCGCCGCGGGCCTGGGCACCTGACGTTCCGATACCGCCTCCGCCTCGGGCTTGGGGAGGGAGGTGGAAATTTCTTTGGCCCAGCTGGCGCCTTGCAAAGAGCGTGGGATCCACGAGAGACAATACACATTTCGGGGGAGGATGCGAGGAAATGGACACCTTCACGTGGCTGCTGGCAGTGTGAAATGCCACAGCCTTTTTGCAAAGTAATCTGGCATCATCTAGCAAAGTACATTCGTTCCTTCACTTAGCAAATGTTTACTGAGCGCCCACTATGTGCCAGGCACTGGTCCCGGAGCTGGGGATTCAGCCCTGAACAAAATACTCGGGGTTTCTACCGAAGGCTGGCTCACCGTCCGGTGGGGGAGACAGACGAAGTAAACAGACAATTATAATGCAAAGGGAAGTGCGCTTTGATGGGGGGAGGCCACAGGGCGCTGTGACAGTCAAGGGGCGGGTCACCTGACAGGGGGTCGAAGGCGACTTCCCAGAGGAAGTGAAGAAATACTGAGGGGAAAGGCCCGAGGTAAGAATCAGTAACTACTGCAGAGACTTTGAGTGCAGCTCCCAGGGGTGGGGGTGGGGTGGGGTCAGATCTGCTGGGCCTCCAGGGCCTGGAGGAGTTTGGACTTTGCCCCAAGGACACTGGGGGAGCCAAGGAAGGATTTTCAGCTGAGGAGGGACCTGTTTAGAGTTTCGTTGGGAAGGATCACTCTGGGCAGGTGGGAGAAAGTAGGGAAGGGTGGGGCTGAGGTGGGTCTCCTCACCTGTCGGGGGGCCATCAATCCTGTGTCTAAAGGACCTAACACTGGGCCACACAGAGGGCACTGATCCAATGTAGGGTGGGCCCAGGGGAGGGACAGCTGCACCCTCACCCCCAGCCCTTCCTTGAGCCCACTGACCCCAGAAGGGGCCATGCCGGGCCTGGAGTAAGGGTGGGGGTCCAGCTTGGTTCCACCTGTGAAGCCAGGACTATGAAAACCTGTAAGTCCCTCCACTCACCACCTAGAACGAGGGCAGGGACAATTGTCTGTTTGAGTCACTAGATACTGGGGCTAACAGCTGTAAACAAAACAATTGTTCTTAAGGGTAAGGTTCTAGTGGGTGAGCTGTGGATAGGGTGGGGGAGACAGGCCATACGCAGTCATTGTGAAGAATGCACCCCCTCTGATCTCTATGTAGTTCTTATTGTGATTCTCCACATGCAGCCAGAGGGAGTAAGGCCATGTCCTTCTGCTCAGACCCTCCCATGTTCCCATCTAACCCAGAGTAAAAGCCAAAGTCCTTACCATGGCCCTCCGCCCTGATCTCACCTCTGCTGACCTTGTCTCAAGCCACTCTCCCCCTCCCTATGCACTTCTTTCTGCTCTTCACAACTCAGCCCTGGCCCAGCACAGCACCTTGGCACCTGCCATTCATCCTCCCTGCCCCCTAAATCTCTCTTCGCTGCCCCCACCTTTATGTAGCTGGTTCCTTTGCAGTCTTTTTTCAGCATTAACTTCACCAACTGCCTAGCCTCATTAGTAATGAGAGAAATGCAAATTAAAACCACAATGAAATACCATTTCACACCCATAAGAAAGACAAAAAGTTAAAAATTCGGTCAATATCAAGTGTTGATGAGTCTGTGAGGGCAGTAGGACCTTTATCTCATGCTGGAGGGAGTGTCGATGGGCACAGCCACTTTGGGAAAGTTTGGCATCAGCTAGTAGTAACAAGTGACTCTCCATCTCTCAGCAATTCTGCTCCCAGGCCAACTGCATTCCAGGGTTCTCAGCGACTGCCTAAAGCCAGGCCCCACCCCCATAGACATCTGCTTTACTCTAATGCGTGTGTGTTGCGGGGCGGGGGGGGGG